ATGAGTACTTTCTCTTACCAACTCATACATTATTTGAATTCATCAAAGAAGAAGATATTCAACAAGTAAGACACTTGAAATTCAAGTTTTAAATTAAACGGAAGCTTCTTCATGAAGAGTAGTGAAAGCTAAACTCGAGGAGTCGATGTTGTTTCTTAGAGTACTACCTTTTGAAAAAAGCCCGGATGTTTTTCATCTAATTAATTTGTGCATCAATTGAAGCACTTTCTTTTACTTTTTCCAATCGGCTAGCAAAAGCTACTTCTTTTTTTTTGAAGAGTCGAAATGATATGAGTTTTTGATTGAACACTCGTTGCCAGTAACTCTGGAGAGCTGCTTTTTGTACTATACATCCTTCTTCTTTGATTTTGATGCAAGCTGATTGAATCACACATTTCTATCAAAGAATGAGTGACTTATGAATGAATTTGCATTCGTATAATCAAGTTTTACTTTCTGATTGCTTCTTTCGCAAAAAAAGCATTCATTTCATTACAAAGGGTGAAGATATTCCAAGGGGGAAAAAGCAGATTTTGGCGTCCAAAATCTTTCAAAATCTTCAAAATCTTTCAAAATCTTTTAAAATCTTTCAAAATCTCTCAAAATCTTTCAAAATCTTTTAAAATCTCTTAAAATCTCTCAAAATCTTTTAAAATCTTTTAAAATCTTTTAAAATCTTTTAAAATCTTAAAATCTTAAAATCTGCTTTTTCCCCCTTGAGATATTCCAAGTATTATAAAACGATGAAATTGATAATGAATGTTGACGAAGTAAACATCCATGAAAGTATGGAAAAGAAAACGATATTTTATCAATAAACATGAGTGTATTCCTATTTCTAATGACAATTTTTCAAGTGCAGGCCTTATTGAATCGTAACATAATGATTAGTTTCTGACATCATTGACAATGTTTCGTCAATTGCGACTTTGAATTTGATTGAAGTCGAGAAACGCTTTGGGCGACTTAAAACGACGCACATCTGATATGAATTCTCTAGAAATTCATCTGTTCTATGATAATTAATTAGTCTAAACTGTTACGTTAAAATTAATACTTGACAATTTTTAATATGGTCATTGTTCTTTACGATGTGTACAGTGGATTGCTAGAAAATATGACAAAAATGCAATTCAACTTGTACAATAAATGTAGTATATTTGTTTTGCTGTTTTAGTATTGAAGTAGGGATGAATAGTTTTCACTACTATGTGATCCAATAGCAAAAACGCAGTAGTTTTCTGCAGTTCTTCATTAAAAATAGCTGCCAAGACACAAAAAGTTTTCCTGATCAAGTCGATCGCCGATGCCTGTTACATCTTTAGATCAATAAACATGAATATAACATTCTTAATTAGCACACTAAATCTAATTGAATGACACTGTTTTTTCTTTTCAAAATTTGTCTCTATGAAATGATGTCTATGGACACGTCAATGTGCTCTTTCGAAAAATTTTACCCTTTGGAAAATATTCAAAAGAAAAAGAATATTATTGAAATCAGTTTCTTGTTTTCAGTTTCAATATCATTTATATTCAGCGATAAACATTACATTTACACTTGAAAAATTTGAGTAGACGTAAAGAAAGTTTTAGCTTTTAATTCATTAATATGAGTTATTTCGCCTCTACACAATTTATAAGAACTTTGCAAAGTTGATGTTCACTTGTGTTACTGACCTATTGCTAACTCTAGACTTTTATTAAATTTGGTCATGCTTAGTACTAGTAACCACCACATAAATTCAGCTTTTTCATTTCTTTTTTTTTTTTTTTTTCATATTATCGAATAAAAATCTTCTTCTTTTTAATATTAATACAACAATTAATTTTCGACATTTCATTTTTCCACTTTTTTCTTTTGTCTGTTTTTATTCAATTAACGTCTTCAATTTCTCTATTTTTTTTTTCTATATTTACGTCTCGGTCATTTTGCTTCTTTTTCGTCATTTTCCTATTTTATATTTTCCTTGTCTGCGCTTTCCAGCAATGCTTTTTTGACAAAGGTGATGCTCTTGAGGTTTAGCACCATCCTGCTGGTACGCCCAGCTGTTTTCTAAAACTTTTTTGTCGGATTTTAGAGCTACTAGAAGAACGGCATCGATGCATCTTGTTGCATCTATTATTCCATTTTCCAAAACTACCAGCATTGTCAATCCTCCTTCACATTTATCTAATCATATCATTAGCTTAACTGGGATTTTTGATTTTTCATAAACAGCACCTTGTTTGTCAGCTTCTTTCTTGTTCACAGTTCACAGCCGATCGTTCTAAGCACTTGCAATTTATGGAATGAAATGGTTAAAGCTATGAATTGAGACCACGCAACAACAAAGGCACCATTGATAGACGAAATAACACATTCTATCACAACAATTGAAAAAGAAGAAAAATTTACATTTTGTTCTTGATTTTATTGTATAACTACACTTCATCAAAAAACATGGAAGAAGCTATATTCATGTAATAAAGTATACTGAATTGAAGAAGAATCACAAGTGCTATCTTTTTATTAGAAAAAGTGTTTTAATCAAGGGACTCATAGAGTAGAAATTTCTAGAATACTAAGGAAGACACTTCTATTCTGTGCTTTTCGTTACATCTATTTGTTCTTTTCACCTATAATTTTGTAAAACTATCGAAAATGAAAAACTTCGTCAGAGTTAGAGCTGCAGGAATCTCGTAGTATCTGCTAAATTTAAACTACATCGCTGTCTTTGACTATATCTTTTTATTTTGCTTTTACTATTCTGATTTTTGTTCTGATTCAACCTAAAACTTTTCTCATCTTCGAGATCAAACCAGGACATCGATATGAATTGGTTTGTACAACTGACGACGGATTGGTTCGATACAGAATGTGAGATGTCATTAATTGCACAAGATGTCTTTGTCGAGCCGATGATTTAGTTTCATTATTAGCAGAACCACTAGGCATCCCAAGAATTCTTCTCGTTTCAGTGGCATATCGTGTTGGAACTGTTTTGGATATGTATGACGAGAAAACAAATGAACAACATGTGATGAATGCTCTTCAACAAACGATTCGTCAATGGAGAGTACAAGAAATACCGGTTGAATTTTGTAATTTTACGCCATATCCAAGATAAGATGCGTTTCCGACTAATTACGTCATCTTTCTGGAAGTGGTTGCGGACTAAGAATGCAAGATTGATGCACAACAATTTCAAGTTCTCAAGAATACCACCAATACAGAATTCGAAGAACAACTTTGCGAAGCGAACCAAAATTATAAAGATAATCGGAACTCAACAAAGCTTGGTTTATTTGACTGTATTCTTGTGCGAAGTGGAACATTCTCGACTTTTTTGCGGAAAGTCTTGTGCACCGATAGCGTGAGTCTTGAACAAATCAAACTTTGTCGAAAGTTGAGAAATGAAGAACACATCAGATTCTTTTATGACAATCAAATTGATACATTATCTTTCTAATCATGACTCTTTTTGCAACAATAATGACAATCACGTCGATTCTAATTTGATGTCGGTGATCTGTTTGAATTAGCTAACATTTAGTTTTTGCCTCATTTTAATATATTTGAAGGATAAATATATTATCATTTAAGTTCTTCTAGAGGTTCCACTCTAGCTACAAAAAAATTTGGTATCCACTATCATTCGAATAATTGACGGCCTAAAGCTAGAGATGTTCCGACACCTATAGCATCACTATCGGTTGACGTTTTTTTTTCTATAATACTACATCTTTTTACTGTTGAGGGTGGGTGTGGATGAGTGTAGGTTATGGCTGTGAGTATGGCTGAAGAGCTGACGCCCACACATCAACATCCACACTCAACACTTGATTATATGGATTTTTGAAATTTCACTCAAGGTTCGTCATTTTTGCACAAAAGAAAACGTTCCTGTCATATATGATCTCCGTTACAAATCACTCAGTTCTGTTAACAAACATAGTCCGAGTTTGATCTATGAATTTGTAGACAAATCATCAATTGTGACGAAAAGGTCATCATACTAATTAATCACAAATGTGTCTGTTTGAGATCCGAAAACAATAATAACTTGCAGGGTGTTCACAGGTTGCAGCACGCTTCTCGAAATGCGCCAACGTGAAATTGTTTCTCTTGTGTCTAAACACGAAATAGAACTATCTCAGATCGGAGTCAAAAAAGAATAGATTGCGACATACTCAGATAATGAACAAACCATTCTTGTTGTGCTTGATCATACCATCGTACACCAACTTGTCCGTTGTTTTGACAACGAGCTCGTAGAGCAAGTATAGCATGATCTCTTTCGATCAAGTCCTGATGCTGTTTTATCTTCATATATTGATATGAAGTGATATTTTTGCCCGTAAATATACAATTAGATTGGTTGAAGTCGGAAACAATAGAAACTATTCCATTGGTGGTTTTGATCGTTTGCCAGTACGATTCTAGTGTTGTATTATAATGCGCATGTCCATTTTCTGTTAAATTTCCATCATGCAACAAGGTACCATTTTCTAAGGCAAGATTTTCAATTGAGATCGCAAAAATTGATCTGTTCCGTTGATAGTTTTGGTGAACATAAACATAGCATAAGATAAATTGGAGCCATAAATATTAGCATTTTCTATGTTCACTCTTCTAAGTCGATTTTTGAAACCATCTAGTATATTCCAAAGACGCACCTGTAAAGTCCACATATCTCATATCTGCGTAAGAGAAATTACTGTATCTCAAGAGAGAATGGTGAAAGGAAGCGTTTCCAGAAGATCTAAGTCCATCAATGGAAATATTGACAAATGATGGACATGCCTTGTAAAAAAATGGTTCAAAGCATGGTACCCTCAGATTAGTCATATTGATATTATCCATTATAGCTCGCGTAAAATAGACATGGGATTCCACATAGACATTTACGAAACTGACATCAGACATATCTGCTTCATGAAATGCAACTTTGTTCAAGTGATAATAAAAAAGAAACAGTTCGACGAAGTAAAGATTTTGTGAAATTGACATATGCAAATTAACATTTTCGAAAAGTGCTATATATTGCTGCAGTCCTATAAAACGACACATGTGATATGCGACTATGATCAAACATCTCTTTAGATATTGACGCATTATTGAAATAACTACATTCAATAATTGCTTTCGCTCTAATAAAAAGAAAATTCGAAATAATGGCATCATTCAATTGAATGTGATTGATGAAAGCATATGTAAACACGACATACTCAAGAATACTTCGTGTCAGATCAGCTGTAGTTAGATTGGCACTAGTAAAATTAGTTCTGTGCAATCGTGTATGATGAAAAAGAGCATGCTGCAGATTTCCTTTATAAAAATTTGAATCAGACAAATCTGTTTGTTGACCATGAAAGTCGACACCAATCAGAAAACAATAGAAAAATGAGTTATTTCGCATTGTAACATCCACGAGCGAAATATACGATAAGTTCGAGCCCATCCAATCGATGTCGTTCAGATCAGCTGACGAAAGAACAATCGGTGACTGACCATATGTGAGTATACCGACTTCATAAAGAAATAGATTAAGGTGACGTTTACGTACTGGATCAAGTTGGCGAATAACAATTAGTGTTTTAGCTCGAATTAGATTGTGTATAAGGGAATCGACACTTAAGTTACCTTTACTATCTTGAAGGAACTTGCCAATCATTTTCACATATGAGACTAATAGAATGTCGCGATATCGATTCAATGCTACGTCAAGTTCATGTTGACTTTGCGAAAAAGAGAGATTTTGTCGCTTCTCTGCGAAATCATTATCTTGTGCGCGCTTTAAAGCGGCAATTTCTTTATCAAGTTCTCGTTGAACACGAGAAATATTCAAGTCGAGTTCATGCTTTAATTCATCCTGAAGACGCTGCAGACGAGCAATTTCCTTGTATTGAGCATGTTGTTCAAATGAGGTATTCCAATCTTGCCCACAGTGTTGTCGCGATATATTTAGATCCTGTTTGTGCTGTTCGCGAGCCAATTGTCTATCTTCGATTCTTTGTTGAGTGACAACATTTTGTTCATGGAAACTAATGACAATAGTAAAAATGCCCAACATCAAAGGAAGAAGTAGAGATAAAACAAATGTAAGAATATCCTTCAATGTTAGACCACGATATAGCCAATGATGACGATTCAATGGCCGATCCGTCATTGTAGCTTGATGACGCCGCGTTCTCGCTCGCTAATAATATCAAAGTATACTTCATCAGTTCCTATTTTGTGACATTTATAGGAAAAAAAAGGATCAAGTTTCATTGAATATGATGCTGTCTCATCTCTCAGTATTATTTGTCAACTTTCTGAAACTTGTTTGTTTGCTCAAATATTGACTAGCGTTTGGTTTCTTTCCCAAATCATGTAGTTGAGTTAGAGCAGCGATGAATGATTATGACTTTCAAGGTTCCATGGGATAGTCAGAAAGTGGAATGAACTAGAATCCCCGTAAGATTCTATGACTTTTATCAAACTTAAAAATATTATTCGATGTCATACAAATGAGATGTACTCGGTGCGGGTGTGCGTGCAGGTCAGGTGTTGATGTTGTGAGTGTCTGAGTGAGGGTCGATCCATATAGGGTGTGGGTGCTTGTGTTCTTCTAGGTGACACTCACATAAACACCCATTTGCTTCTAGTACGAATTCTGTATACTTCTGCAGCCAGAATAGTATTATACTTCATCACTTTTATGCTTTGTTGATTCAGACAATGGATTCTTTCTCTCTCTCTATCTCTTGAATTCTGATGACAGTATTCGTTCTAATCTTGTTAAACTTGAACAAGAGAGAAATCACCAAAGTAGATACGAGCTCGTTGTAAATGGTTGTGGAATTTGCGATATATACCCCATGAGTAAACTTTATCGTAGCATGAGCAACCAACCATTGACCGACAACATTGTTCCATATTGTTTGAAAGAGAATTTTTTTCGAATCGCCTGTCAGATTGTATTGAACAAGATAGCTGTTTGTTGGTCGACTACTACTGAAAGTTATTAATGATATTGTACCATCTCCATCAATAAACTTAATCTAATGAACATGAAGCCAGTCTTTAGAATCGGCTTTTGTATCTGAATCAATATAGAATTTCCAGTCGTACTGAGGAGTATCACCAGAAAAAGCTTTGAATGATGGGGGTAACCTTGGATTCACTTTGATTTCAAGTCGTTGACGATCATCATGGCTTGTATCGATTTGAACTTGTCTTTTGACTGTAAATTGAAAGCATGATTTAAGTGATTTAGCAATGGCTGGTAGGTACGTTTGAATATGTCGTCCACTGCCAAAGTCTTCTATTGTGTTGTTGTCAAAATAAGATTTTATTGCCTTATACGGGTCACCCGTCCACGGTGGAATCGAGCTCTATAGTTTTACTATCACACCGATCGCATAGAGAATAGTAAGAACAAACCAGCGCATTATTTAGCAGTAACGATCGAAGAATGAGTAGTTGTCGAAGATAAATAAATACTAATAGTGATGAGCAGAAACAGACGTGAATATAACGAAATCCTGTCTATTATAAACATTCAACAACGAGAAGTCTGACTTGACCGTATCTGTCAACAACTTACGCCTCTCTTTCTATTTACGTATATCAGATAAAAGAGCATGAAAATAAAAATATAGTAACGTTCTTCAATGAGGTTTGTTTGATATGAATCATTCGTGCAAAGAACGTGAGCGCTTTATTTTATCTTTTTGGATCACATATCGATTGTGTCCCGTATGGAATATATACAAAATATGAAAATACAGGAGAATTCTTTTGTCGTTATAATTCAAGATGATCTGAATCTCATTGTAAAACATTTAATCCATATGCTTGTAATTATTCTATCGATTTAATTTGTATTTGTTCACTTAAAAAAATGCTATCATATCATCTTTTAAATTTTGTATGCCAAGAAGAAACATATAAAAATAATAAAATTTGTATATCAAATGTTGAACAAACATTAAGAAATAATTTTAAATGTCTTTGTAAACATGGTTTTATTGGAATGCACTAATTTCGATAACATCCAACAACGATGGGACATTTCTATCTAGTTCACACGAAGTCCAATTTTTATTTCATTCTGTTCAGACAACATATGGGAAAATAGAAGAGATATTTAGCTACATATATGCTCAAGAATTATTGCTTATTACAACTTGCCATCATCTAAATGATCGATTTTCATTAAATACTTATTGAACTGACGACACTGGTATGCTAGAGAAACAAGTTACAGTCAATACAAATAAAAGAGCTAGTTAAACCTGTTTCATAGATCAACATGGGGTGATCATTTTCCGAAGCATATATTGAAGGTGTGGATGTGAAAGCGCATGAACAAAGCATCCACGCAAATACTCTTGTGAACTCTACGATTCAACAAAGTTCTCTAGATACTGTCATGCATTAGCAACAATGATAGTTTGATTCCAACTTAGAATATTTTCTCTTTTAGACTGTGTTTAAAATGGCAGCAGTGATAAATATTGTAATATTTTATGAAGTTAAAAAAGATTATTATGCTTATATGAATTATGTTATTATTTCACGACTAAATTTTTCGATTTATAAAATTGAATAGCATTCTGAAACGAATTATTATCATTAAAATAGCTGTGTGGATGAATTCAACATTATAGTTCAAAGTATAGGCTTTTGGTTTTTATGATTAACTCAAATTATTGGGACCTAAGTCCAATAAAGACCATATGAATGCCAGAAGGTGGCAGTGACGTAGCGGAAAAAAAAACAAGTATATTCGTAGACATATATATATTGCAACGACCACTTTCACTCTACGTCCTATCGAGATAAGACGCATCTTCGTCTGTTACTAGACACCATTCACATATATATACTTATCTATTCCCTATCACGTAGTCAACGCGTGAATAACAATGACTGTTATTATGATCAACAAAGTAATATACAATTTATTGCACGCTTAAATCAACAAAATTGTATACCTATTCCAGTGTCAACAAATCTTCGTCCATTAAACTCCCAGAGTTAAACACGTGGTTGTAGAACATGTGCACAAGTAGAAGAAAATGATGATTATATCCCAATTACAAATAACGGATTAGCAAATTTTTTTTTTGACAAAACGTTTGCCCTTTTTTTAGCTCTCTTGAAAGTATTCTAGGCGAGTGAAAAACTAAAGGTTGCGACCAGAATTTTGTACATCTTCCGAATGTGAGCTCAGAAATTGTGTACCTATTTTTGTTCTAGATTAGGAAGGAAATCTTTGAGCATTCTGAGAAATTAGTGAAAAATGCGAACAAACAGGTATTTGCGATCCCCATAAGTCAATTTGCAAAGATGCTAAAAATGGTTCAATTTGGTAGTTTTATAGAGCGAACAACTCTTTACAAAACATTATGTCAAGCTAAAATGTAACTTTAATACGAATAAAATTATAACCATTTTCGCAAGAGCTGTTTTTATTTAAATAGGATTTGATCAAAAAATTCATTTTTCAAAATTGAATTTGATAGAAAAACAACAATTAAGGTGTTTTATCAGAATATAAAAATAAACTAAAATACCATATTTTGTAGAGCAAAATTTGCTCTACAAGCTGATACGTGAAGAAAAGTTTCAACATTGTGTTTTGAATACCAATAGTGGAAATACGAAAAACTTTTCCATGCAAAGTATCTTTTTTAGACCTTTCAAAGATATCCTCACTACTATAGAAATAAAACAGATACACAATTTCTAAGTCCTATATTCAAAAGAGGCACAAAATTCGGGTCATAACTCCCGTTTTTTCACTCGTCTAGAATACTTTCATGAGAATCAAAAAAAAGGGCAAATATTTTATCAAAAAATCTTTCGATGCTCCATTAGACTGTAGGAAAAAAACAACGATTTTACAATTTATCATTCGGAAAAATTCACTTTCGGTTGCAGCAAAAGGAGACAAAAAACTAACTGGATAATGATCAGGTATATCTACTGGCGTATCCAGGGGGAGGCTGAAGAGCATGCCACCCTCCCACTGAGAGGTCCTGTTCTTCGGCCAATGAAAAGTAAAAACTTATGATTACTTTAAAACTTTTTTGTTGTCTTTCTTGACTATTTAGCAGCCCTGAAAATTCAGTTAGCAAGTGATACCATATGATAAAGTTGTGAAACATCAATGGTCAAGTAGTATCTATTGTTGGCGTACTTTACATTCGTCTATGGAGCCAATTTTATGAAGAGCTCATCAAGAAACAAAAACGAGTGTCTATGTCGTGCCACCAGCGAAAAGAACCAATGATAAAATATCTTGAATTTTTTATATTTTTTTCGCCTATTCAATAGCTTTGGAAGAGTGAGAATATGTCTGTAGATGTGAGTGTGTGGTGTGGATGTGGGTATCAGATACAAATACATTCATACCCACACCCTATATAATGAATTATATGATCTATTGTTAAAAAATAACTATTCTATATCTTGTCGTCAAAACAAGAACTATTGAATATGTCTCAAAGGATTGATTTTCTTAAACTGTATTTATAATGATGAATGATATTTTTTCCATTAGAGAAATCGAATATTGCGAGAAAAGCATATGTATTTATATGGTTTTTACGATGTTTNAAATTTTGAGCGAATTTTGATTTACTATAAGGGAGAACGAGCAATTTTTCTGATAACGACCAAGACTTTTGGCTCACCCTTTAAGAGACCGTAAAGAGAATTCTTTTTTATTTAAACTTTTCACAATATTATAAAAATAACAAGTTAAATATGTAGAGCACTCCAAAAGTTTTTTCAGCAGTTTCTTCTAAAAGCCTTAGTTTGGGTTCGAGTATTCCGTTAAAATGCTTAGACATATTTAGGATTATGGACAAGATTTCAGCCTTACAAATCTTATCCTTTTGCTGTTGCTCATTATTTGTTTTACGTGAGTCGGATACCATTTTCTATAGTCTACATATCGAGTGACTTATAATAAATGACAGAACTTTGCATTTCATATTTTCATCCCTAAAAACATTTTATTAAAAAAGAGCAAAATATACGAGGAGATGCAGCGTGAAAAGCTCTACAATCTAAGATGTAAAGCTTATCTTAAATGTATCCTTTTTGTTTCAAAATAAACAGTATTCTTAGCAACCAACTTTCAACGCAGCTGCGAAAAGTACTCCAGAGAAT